TGTGGATATGAAACCATTTGTTAGGTTTTAACGATCATATTTTGATAATTCCTTGCCTGTTAACAAGGAATACCAGTTCAATTTTATCGTCTTAAAGGGGCAAGATCAAAATTCAATGTCTGACAAAAAACTAAATTCACGTTGTTTTTATCATCAATCCCCCCTTCCCCTCAATAATAAATATGATGAATATCAAGAACTAATACTGTACTTATCACTTAATAATTTATATATTTCTTCTGTTTATTAAAAGAAAGAAACATTTTAATTTACCAATTTGGCATGGAATCTTAAATTACAATATGTAATTTTTGCGTTATTATCAATGTGGTAGAATTAAAAAAAACTTTTGGAGCTCTTTATTCTACGGAAGCCACAATAAAAGGTGAAGGTCAGCATTAGTAAAAACAGTTGACATGTGATCTTTTTTGGGTATAGAATGAAAGTTTAATATCTAAAGTTTACAATATGATAAGCACTACTTAAGGTGTATTTCAAGCATAAATTTTGCCAAGAAATGTGTATTGAATGTTGAGACAGGATTTTTGATATTTTCACTCGTGCTTCGCACTCATGAAAATATAAAAAAAAATCCCTGTCCCACTCGTGAAATAAATTCCATATCAACTACAAAACATTGAATATCCTCTATTTATTACCCCCCCCCCCCCCAAAAAAAAAAATCATCAATCTCTTTTTGAAATAAAAATTATATGATAAAGTATACATAATAAATATTGTGATGAGGAAAATAATTAACGACATTGCTTCAATGTTGTATTAATAATATAAATGTACATATGTAGTATTAGGCCTTTTCGTTGATCAATCCTAAGTAAAAAGATTATAAAAGTGATCTGGCTTTGTAAACTCCGTAAACTTTTTTTTTGTTTTGTAAACTCTGGTTTGACGTTCTGACACTATGTGGTAAACATATAGGATCCGCCAAATAGACGTGAATCTCAAATAGGTCTCCGTGGATCACCACAACTTGGAACCCCCCCCCCCCCCCCCGCAAAAAATATAAACAGTGAATCATGACAGAATATTAGATAAAATGTCAATATCAGCAGATCAGATTTAACGTCTTATTACTTAAAAGGATGTAATATCATTTTTGCTTCACCATTCCTCATTATCGTGGACAATATGCATAAGCTAAGTCACGAAGTTCAAGGGGGGGGGGGGTTAAACCAAGTAAAATATTTGACAAGTAAAAAGAAAAAAAAATAGATTTGATATTCCAACTACGAGTATTCGCCATTAATTTCGGGAGATATTTACTCAGGTAAAAAAAATATGGAGGAAGGGGCACAAAGATACTCTTGACCGCCCCCTTTTCAAAAGTGGTGGTGTGGACGTTAGCCCCTCTATTACTACGCCTATGATCTAACTGCTGATGTCTCACCATCCCCCGTCTTCAAAACATTTCTGAATCTCAGAAGTAACATATGTATAACACTGTAATCTATATATTATATGTTGCATAAACGATATGTTGCACTTATATTGTCTCTGATATTTAATTTTAGCGGTATAGAAATTGATATATGAAAGTGTATACCGGTAAGTCGTCCAAACATATCGAAATAGTGTCATTCATCAGAAATAGTTGTCATAAATAAATTGCCAAAGTTTGAAGCAAGTATGTTTGGCAATATTATTTTAAGAAAAATATCGCGTCCTAATGCAACAATTTGAGGAGGAGTTCACGAAAATGTGTAAATGTGTTCGCCTTAGAGTTGCTATGATTATTGACAGCGAGATAGTTCAAGATTTAATCAGAAGTAAACCCCAGAGCAAATTAAATTTTCAACCATTTATCAATTGTTCAAGTTAAATTTGACTGATAATTACTTGCTAAAAATTCAATGGCATTTAAAACTGCAGCCATTTTTATTCCTATATTGCTATTAAGTCTCGAAATAACGAGAAAACTGTCTCGTTATAACGACATAACTAACTCGTTATAACGAGATAATTATCTCGTAATAACGAGATAACTAACTCGTTATAACGAGATAACTAACTCGTTATAACGAGATACTAACTCGTTATAACGCGATAATTATCTCGTTATAACGAGATAACTAACTCGTTATAACGAGATAACTAACTCGTTATAACGAGATACTAACTCGTTATAACGCGATAATTATCTCGTTATAACGAGATAACTAACTCGTTATAACGAGATAACTAACTCGTTATAACGAGATAACTATCTCGTTATAACGAGTAAATTATTCTTTTATCTTGTCAAAAATGAGCCTATCCGGCTTTCGTACTTTTATAATGATACATGGGTTTTTTTTTTTAATTTTTTTATCCAAAGTAATAAGATTGGGTTTTTTTCTTGATTGTTTTCGCTGTTGCATTCAGTTATATTGGGCTGGAGAACACTGTGGGTACGGTAATCCATTATAACCCAGTCCGAATCAGGCCTTGCGTGAGAATATACATGGACAATACATTTCCAGGTTTACCGGTAGTTTAGAGATGAACTTTGTTAATCTAGATTGAAAAATGTATTTATTTCATGTAAATAGTAAACTGACAAGATTCTTAAATAAACTCAGGTGACCTACGATTGTATTGCTATCTCTTTTTGTCCGTCGTCGTGCGCTGTGCGTCGTCTGTCGTGCGTTAACAACTTCATATATCAACATTTTCAGCAGCTTCTCTGGAACCGGTGGACCAATTTCTGCCAATTTCGGTGAAACATGTATATGTTAATACTGGTAAAGGGGAAGTTGGGGAACCCAGATTTTTTTTAAATTATTTATTTATTTATTTATTTATTTATTTTGTTTGTTTTTTTTTTTTTTGCATACATTATTGAGATAGGTAGGAAAATAAGTCGCGCTCGTTTTGTATATTTAGCTCTCTTATCTACCAAATTTTTGGCGCCGGATAAACATATATAATATCAGAAAGCAGTTTAGTTTGATTTTTTTTTAAAGTGATAAAAATTATAATTATGATAAAAATGAATATTAAATTTCCGATTTAAATGATACTCTTTATAATTCAGACTTTTCACATGGTTACATTAAATATAAAGCTACTGAAAATAATTTACACGATTGTTTTTTTCTTTCTTTGTCATTTGGACAGGAAATTCATTCTGTCTCACAAATCATGAATTAATTTTTATGGCTAATATTTCCGAAAGTTGTTTCAATTCTTTTGATTCTTTAAAAAACGACAAGACATACATTAAGGTGACAGGAGGCGTCATCATATGATGAAACATGTATCATATCAATTGATACCAAATAAATCTATCTATCTCTCACGATGAAAATTGGGGGGGGGGGGGGGGGCTCAAATCCAAGAATAGTAAGTACATATAGATGGGGCCAAAATCACACCTTAATGATGCGCAAATGAGTTCAGCGAGACTATAGAGAGAAATTGCCTGATAAGAAATTGAAAACCCGCGTAAGTTGGTTATGTAATTTTTTCTGCAATAGCTGCAACGTTAATTTCCATTCTTACAACCAAAGAAAGACATTTTATTGTTCATATTTATATCTGTACAAATAATCATCTAAAGAAGAATTGAGTACATTAAATATTGTATTATTGATATGCACGTCATTGTACGTTTCATTGATGGAACAACCACTGTTTACTGACTGATAAACGACAATGGTTTTCTTAAGAAATAAAGGAGGTAATATTCAGTGGATGTAAATATTAATGTTCGTACGATTGTCCGTGGTTAGATCATTTTTGTGATATGACATGTCAAACTCCAGACACACTTGTCCGATCGGACAAGTTAGTTATTGTAATGGAATATTGTAAATAAATGTGATTGAAAAAATCCCCACAAAATTCTTTTATACTGGGATTTTTTTTTATTTTTTTTTGAAAAAATTACAGAAGATACGAGCGTGGTTACAGACAGTGCTAGGCTAGCGTACATTGTATTTAAGATCAGCAATTGCAACTTATGTTTTTATTTTTATATAAGTAAACAAATATTTATCGGTAAAAAATTAAAGCATATAATTTTTTATTACTTCATTCTTGAAATAAAGTTATACAAATTGTTTATATTTCTTTAGATTTGGACAAGTAAACAATGAATTTGGACAAGAAACATTTGTCAGCGACTTGTCCAATAGACATGTGGGTATCCCCCCACCCCCCACCCCTCCCACTCTTAAAAACGATGTTACTGTTCATTTGTACCATCACAAGAGTGTACAACATAAAACAAATTCCAGCATTGTTTGTGTGGAGTCGTGAGGGAGGGAAATGATACTCCGGGGTAGCTGCCACCGTCTGATGTGGCATTCCTTAAGGACGAGGGGAAACGAAACCGAATCCCTTTGGCTTTTAACATTTTTATTTGCTACATTTGATCTCAATCGATAAGCTTGCAACTGTAATGAAAGGGAAGTAACTCAATGTCTGTACAACATGACAAACTAATACTTTATATCCATGTTAAAATCACGTTTAGAGAGAGAATGAGTGAAATACCTGTACCTGTTGTGATGAAGACATAATTTCAGTTCTGAGGAGAGGGCCCACTTGATTCTCTGGTTATTCGGTTCTGAGGAGAGGACCCACTTGATTCTCTGGTTATTCGGTTCTGAGGAGAGGACCCGCTTGATTCTCTGGTTATTCGGGTTCTGAGGAGAGGGCCCACTTGATTCTCTGGTTATTCGGGTTCTGAGGAGAGGGCCCACTTGATTCTCTGGTTATTCGGTTCTGAGGAGAGGGCCCACTTGATTCTCTGGTTAGGATCACTTGTGCCAGTTTCTATAGATTATAATGTATGCTGAGCCCAGGTCCTCTTGCCAGTTAAGATGTGGAGTAGACATAAGATATTCAGGTGAGGGTTCTACAATGTTTGAACCAGAGCCTGGGAATTTTAATAAACAACTGAGAAATCTTAAAATAATGGCCACCAGTACTCTACTTCCAGCTAAATCCTCATGGGGGGGAGGGGGGTATAAACAAATAGATAATTTCAGAAAATAATGAGCACCAAAATTAAATTTAATATATGGTAAGTGTAATATTTCTTGTAGATAAAATACATTATTTATCAAGAAATTGAAAAATATATCTGCATTAGGAAATATTTGAAGACTAAACCTGATAGCTATATGCATGTACACAGTTGTTTCAAGTTTTTGCCCAGGGATCAGTGGATGTACACGTGAATAAAGTGGGGGCTTGAGGCTGCCACACCCCCTTCCCCATAAAATAAGGGCAAAGACATAGCTTTAAAAAATATCAACAAAATTAGATTAAATTAATCTAGATCTATTTGACTCTGCTTGACACGTTTTATCAGATATTTATATTATGCATTACTCAACCGGACATTTTAGTAAAGTTCATAAAATCATTTTGTCCATATTTTCTGACCCCCTACCCCCACCTTAACCTAAAAAATCACAAAAATAAAGACCTTATCTCGAACACTGAATAATGAATTCATATTTCAAGAGCTCGCTTTTAGGATCCTTCATTGAAATTTTAAAAACATGTAAATGTTATTAAAATTTTTGCATAGTTTTTTTTTCCCTCCAATTTTTTTTTAAATTTATATTCAAGTTTAAAATTACACAATTTTCACACTCCGATTATATGCAAGTTTTGATACTGATTACTTATAGCTGTGTACAGTGTACTGTGAACAGGTTCGATTTCACCTATGGCTATTGTCAGGTTATCCAGTCTGTTATTACTAGGCTATATGGCAAAGTCAAGAGGCACTTGTTAACTTATAAATTTTTTTATTCACCCAGAAGTTAGTGATACCGATATTCCTCTACTGTAGTTAAGAGATTCTTCAACGGAAATACTGCATCAATTCAGTTCAGATGCATTTTTATCCCATACTGAAAGATCTTTCAGATGTTCGTTTCCTGGCTTCAAATAATCGCCGAATATACATGCACGGACAAGTCCAGAGGTAGCTGCGTATGGGTCAACAGAGGAGGGTGGTCTGCGATCCTCCATGTAGCCTCGCCCCTCCGCTGTCACGAGGGGAGGAATCCTGATTGTGGTGAAAACCTTATTTTCTCCGTCCACCACGAAGTCGTCCTGCCTAGGATGCCAGTGTCCCGACTTATTGGCTAATCTCTCAGAGTTGTCTTTCTCAAGAGTTTGGTCGTATAGTCGCAACAGCGGCAAAGGATCAGATTTAGACAATACTTCAACTGCATGCTGTATAAATCTGGAATCAGATTAAAAATATTCACTACTTAATTATCTTTTTTTATGAAATCAGAATTAAGTTTCGGACCTAAATAACACATGTGACATATAACACATGTAACGGAAGATCTACTTGTTGATCGCAACGAGATTGGATCTAGTTGTTTTTTCCCTAGTTTTCTTTTAAAGTTCTGATAAGCGTACTTAATTCCGTCTTTTTCCCTCATTTTTCTGACGCTGAAGTTCAAATGTCCACCAGAAAAGAAGGCCTCTCCACTGACTGGGGCAGCTTTCAGGGTAACCCTAAAACCGTACATCTCCGCTAGTCTCAGTAAGATGTAACGGGACATCTGTAGGTGGTCCCCCACCGTGACCCCGGGGCATGGCCCGACCTGATACTCCCACTGAAAGATACATTGTACGTGTAATAATTACCAGATATTGGTTTCTCAGCAGAGGAAGACAGCACAAAAATATATGACACATACATGACATATACATGCAGTAACAGTTCAACCGGGTCGTAAAGGTGTTTGTACCGGTATTGATGGAAATGCATATATCTATAAAAAGATAGAGATTTTTATCAGGAAAATTTTGAGTAAGAATACCGTTGTTAATATGCTTTCTTGAAGAAGTTTGTTCTTTAAAAACATAACACAATTTCACAGTGTGTAAAGGTGAAATGGTCGATATTTTTGGTACATGCACACATACATACATACATACATACATATATATATATATATATCTTTGACGATATAATGATAATAAAAATAATGGTCCTGTTTCAGATTCGTTAAAAAAAAAATTTCTCAAGAAAATTATTTTTAATTTTACATGTATCTTGAGATACGTACATTTCACGAGCAAGTGATTAAAGGGAGAAGTCAAGAATATACCTTGAATATCCCCACAGGATTTTTTTTTCGACGACTAGGTGAATTTGACGGATGACCACGCTTTCATGTGAAAAGTATTTTATTTGTATTCATACCAGAATGAATTTTTGTACATGTTTTCTTAGACGTTTTGCTTCCATGCATAGTGTACATGTGGAGCCTATATACGAGACTGCATTTCAATTTCCTGGTTTCTCGTAAGATTCTGAGGTTTTAAACTTTTAGAATTTTCAGAAAAAAGTCTTCTGTGTATTTCCTATCAAAATATACACAATGTATACCCATATCATGTATGTACCTAAAAGAATCTTATTTTTACCTTTGCAAGGTGAGTTTATTTTTTTTCCGTCTGTGTACAGCCATATTCCATCTTACATGTACAAGATTTTCTAAAACATTATTTATAATAAAAATTTCATAGTTGAGCCAAAAGCCCTTGATTAATAGTACATCACCTTGTCGGCAGATTAAATATATCAGAGAAATACCTGAGACGGTCCGTTTTCCCGTATACATCCACTGACATGAATACCAGCATAGATGCAGGCTTGTAAGTGTTTGAGTGACAAGTCCCTTTCCAGTCCAACATTCCTGTCGTGTTCATGTCCAATACTGCAGTAGATAACTGAGAAAAAATATTAATTGAATTGATACTCACGGTAAAACAATAGCTGAGTTATTCAACAAAGTTTACTTTTAAATTCATCAAAGCAATTGTATATGTAAAATTACCCACAATTGTACACAGTCGTTAATTGTTCAGGTGATTAATTTTACATTCTATAGGGTTGGACTCTGATTAAATATTATAAAATTACGTGTTGCTATTTTCACTCTACTTCAAAATCGTAGATTCTTTCCCTTTTGTTGGTAAAAATTTTTCAACAGCATTCTGTATAAATTTCACAATTTTGTCCCTCACTAAGCAGAAATAAACTGCAGCTAAAATAAAACTTGTTTGCAAAATGTTTAATTAATGAAGAAAAAAACTGCCTACTGAGTGATGAGTAGTCGTATGTTCTTGGGTCATAACTGGTTGGCTTGCCGTCATCTCTCATTACTACGTACTCCTGCTCTATACCAAACCACGGGTCATGGGACTCTTTGGGTCGGTGTCCCGTTACTGGGTCATACTTTAGTCTCTCCATTGTCTCAACACATTGAACTCTCGTGTTAATTCCTACACAGAGAAAGATAATATTAATCATAAAATCTAAATGTTTAATTTATTTGTTTTAATTATTTAAAAAAGGACACTATACTTACTTCAAACATGTTTATATTTTGTTTTTTATCAAGTTTAGGATATAATCTAACATTAAACAATTATTATGTATTGAAACACACATTCGCGACACTCTCTATTTCAAAAGGATTTTTTTCTTCCAATATTGGTATATATGTGAAAACATAAATAATATCAGACTGGCGTTACATTTCTAAAATTTACTTTTAATCGTTATTGTACCTGCAGGTTTGTCCAGTGTTAGCCACATGTCACAGAGAACCAGTTTATGTGGACTTTTCAGGAATGGATTTTCAAACATGGCCACTGGCTTCATTATCATGTCAAACAATTCAGAATCGTCCTGGTTTATGTTGTTCCACATATAATTATCCCAGACAGGACAATCTGAAGTAAAATGACATCATGGTACATGTAAAAATGGAATACGGGGGAGGGGGGTATAAAGGTTTTAAAGTGCAATGCTCAAATAAAGTGATAGATAAAGGTGGTAAATAATTCTACTATGGACTCGTACCCTGGACTGTCTTGGGTTCGGTGTCCAATACTCTTACTTTACTCCAGAACTGGTAGTTAGTGTGGTTCGCGAACACATACTCCAGAATCACACGATCTGAGGATCGCGGGACATCAGGGGAACTTACGAATTGTAGCTTACTGTTTGCTTCCATTTTCCTGTAAATGTGCAATATTATATGAATACATGTAGTACTAGTATTTTTGGAAATAATAATATGAATAGTAATTTTATGAAATTATCGCACGAATAGTGTTTTATAAAATGATATAAATATAGTCTATTGTGATATAATATGAAATAATATGAGTTTGAATCATTATATATGTTATAAAATGACTGAAGGTAATAGTATGAATGTATTCCTAGATTATGATAATCCATACAGACCTGTTATATGCTGAGAGTTGTCCAGGAAAACCATTAACTTCCTTTCTGTATAGCTGTATATATCACTCTTTACTTCTGGCCTTGAGAAAACAAAAATACATATAAATGTACATGTACTAAATAAATTAATGAACTGTAGCGGGAGCGAAATGACATAATGAGACGTGAGATGTATATACACCGTGTAAACCATACGGTGGGGTTTATTCTCTACCGAGGAGAGAGCTGACATTTGTATTTGGGCAGGGGACATTTAATCATTTATTTATTTGTCCAAAAATGGGTCAGTTCAAGTAATGGTTTGTTATACAGACTCCTCAATTCTCCAACTGACCTCTTCAATGAAATGAAAAAAAATACTGATAAATTGACAAAAATAAAAGCTCAATTATACCTTTGTTAAACGTCTTGTCGCTGAAAATATTTAATTTAAGTAAATCTAAAATTCAGCACTGGGAAGGTGGTACATATACTCTGTTGCGGGGGGCTATTTGCTGATTTCAAAAACTTTTTGTTTTGAGTGAGTAATAATTAATTCTAAAATGGGTAATCTTTGAACACAATGATGTTCAAGTCTTCTTCTCCACTTGCATTAAACGAAGTCTGTTAAATTATCTCAAAAATTCTTAAAGGTGAAATTATCCAGGTGCGTATGAGAAATGTTTCAACTTTTGATAGAAAAATTATTTATCAAACGAAAATGTGTATTTCTTTTGTCAATTAAGACAGAAAATGTTTTATATTATATATTAATAAAATAAACAATGCTGTTTCAGAATATCCTCGTTTGAATTCTTTTGTTACAATTATGAAATGTTATACTAGTATATCGACCCTGAGTACAAAGTCTTAATTTGATACGTATGTAATATTGTTCTTACAGTTGTAACAAGCCACTCTCAGACATGTTTTTGATATGTTGTACCATAGCTGAACATCAATACACCACATTTTCTTTGTTCGAACCCATGGTGTATTTTGAGCAAACCAACACTTTTCTGTGACCAATATATATCCCACTAATTTCTAACTCCGCCTTCTCGCGGTCTAGTTAAATAAGCATTTTATACTGAATATTCATCGTTTATTGCATTTCTCGAATATAACTCAAAACAAAATTGCAGAAATAAACACACAGACACACTCACACACCCGCTCTCTTAAAATGAAATACCGTTAATGAGATACTTCTGATAAACAAGTACAAAAGTAAGTTCTCTCTCTCTCTCTCTCAAATTAACCGTTTTTACGGACCTGAAAGAAAATGAAAATTACACGTGCCTTCACGAAAATGAGAAATACTCTTTCATAAAAATCATCGTTATTACGGTACATGTATTTGGAAATAATTAGTAAAAAAGGACACATGGAAAAAGGAGAGTTTCTCTCTCTCTCTCTCTTAGTTTACAAAATGTCTCCCAATAACTTTGCTTATCTAATAATTCATTTTCACTTAAATGAATATCCACCTGGTTATTCTGTTTGATAGTTAAAATGGATTATACCCCACTTAAAACGCGCTGAAATTAAAGGTACAGTGGGTGAAGATTGGACCAGGAGCGTCTGCATCCATGGAGGGTGGCGGATCTGGGGAGGCAGATGTAGAAATAGTGGAAGTGGTTTCATCTGAATTTATCTTGATGCGTTTTGGCTCTAAGACGTTGGATACCTCCATTGCCATGTCATTTGATGCTCTTTTATATTGTCGAACGGATTCTATCGAACGATGGCCCGTTCGGGACATAATTTCTTATTCCTCTACTCCCGCCTGATATACATGTAGTGCGGTCGCACATGTTCGCTTCCCGGAGTGATTGGTATAATTACCCTCCAACCCGCCTTCTTGACACATGGATTTTTTCATCATGGTTGACAGTTTGTTGACGCCGATGCACTGCTTGCTAAATCTTCTGCCGTCTAACGCTCGTCTATAGAAGGGTGCGGTCGGATCACTGGCAGTACTAAGGATGAGGCAAATATACTCCTTATACACGTTGTACAACTCATCATCACAGAAAATAGGCTTGATAATTTTTGGCGAAACATTCCGCTGGTTCAGACCACCTGAAATATAATCATCAAGTAAACATTGATCTTGTCTGCGAACATACTAGTTTTACATGACATTGTTCATTCTAGAATCCCCCCTCATGTCCGAAAAAAACAACACTTCATGCTATTTCTGTTATCCCTGTTTAAAACATTTTTTTTTAAATAGATGATGCACATTACTGTTAATTCACACTTAACAAAAATACATGATTCTGATAGATGTTTTTGTTAAATATTTTTGCATAAATTATAATCTTACCTTTATAAGTTTTACTGATGCGCCCTTTAAAAACAACGTAAGGTCTTTCATTTCCATCATCATTCAAATCATGAAGTTCAAACTGATCAATCGATAGGTTCCTATGTTCGTCGAAGCCTCTTAAACCAAACAGCTTAACGTTGTAAAAGAAGACTGAATTCAGTAAAGATTTTGAAGTAGAATTCCCTAAAATGTTCTTTTCCCACAAAATTTTTCCGTCTTTTTCGGACAGGGATTCAGCTTGCCTTTTCACAATTCCTATTCCTTGAGCAGTAAGCTCAGACATTTTCGCGCTCAGCGCTCGTCGGAACCCTTGAAAATGGAGATTTTTCTCATCCAAAAAGTTTAAATGGTTTCCATTTTCTCGAAGATACCTCAGGAGGCCCACGCACAACTGATACAGAGATATTGGTGGTACTGCGCACCATCTTTACGTCTCGCCTCAAGCACAAACGTGGTCATCAAATCATTCATTTCAGTTTCATTCATAATTTGTGTCAATTCAGGCATGAACGCTCCGGTAATTTGCATTCGGTTTTTTCTCCATTTCTGAAATGTAGTAACACTCCAGTTTGTGTTTTTGCGAGTATTTTTGCTTTCATAGGACTTCTTAATATTGTCTATATCCTCCTCTTCAACGGGCGATGCAAAACGTTTGTTTTCTTGGACATCGTCAGGGATTACCATATCAAATTCTTGCAGCATAGAAAAATCACCAAAATCAACAGGTTCGACTTTATACAATTCAACTTTCTGAGTTAGCGACATTTCATTTACACGGCCAGGAACACGTTAAGTTCCTAGACAGTACCGTTGTCAGAAACCTTTAAAGTTAAGCACTGAAACTGGTTCGTTGTCATGAACATACAGGTGAGGTTATGATAAAATCCGTCCGGTGTCATGCAAAAGATACAAGAATTTATACATGATGCCTAAATTTTAACGTTTTTGACAAATTCTAAGAATAAATTTGAATTTTGGGAAACAGATACAACATTCAGTATTCTATAGAAAGATTTATGTATTTGATATCCACAATACATTTTGAGGAGTTTTGGTTGGCGATCACATGCCCATGTGTGAAGCCATGATCGTGAGCTAGAAAATTATATATTTCTTATATTTAATTCATCGCGAAATGGTTCTTTTATTTTAAAATATGAAGAGAAACTTCATTTTCAATGTATTAGGGAACTGACAGCCTTTTATAGCTAACATGTTTTAAGAAATCGCAATTTATAAGCAAAAAGTCCGTTGTCAGTACATGTTAAGTTTATCTGGCCCGATGTCATTTTTCTTAACATGAAAGTAAATCAATAAAATGCAACAGAAATGATCAATCATATGCTTATTTAAAAAAAAAGCATGTTACAAATATATTTGAATCTCGGGGTCGTCTTAAAGCAGCTCACACCAACGTGCTAACTATTCTGCGATGTTTTTATTTTCAATTCACCTGCATCCTAGCTAGTATGCAAACATATACACATCAGTATAACAAAATTAAAATGTTATGCTTAGGTCACATTTAAGCCGTATCGTCGGCTGAAAAAACAGTATCGGGCGACGCAGAGTAAAAAGTCACGTGACACAGACGAAGCTAGACGTGTTTTCTGCCGCTCTGTGTTTTTTGACAATTTCTTCCGAATTTGAGTTTCTTCTTGAGGAATATTTAAGTTTCGGAAGTCTAGTGTGTGTATGTGTATACTTGGCTTCAGGATTTTTCATCAAAAACTCATTGTAAAAAAGTTTGATTTCGTGTATATATGTTTGTTGATTTCATCAGTGATTTCTTCTCAGGTAATGCTTTCAAATTTGTTCAAAGCATGACCACACAGAGGGGCAAAACAGGGGATCATAGTTAAACAAAGGATTATAAGGGACATATCAATAAAAATTTCTTTTTTAGAAATCAAAGCCATTTAATTTATTAGTCATATTAGTTCAAAAGCATCTTTAGGTGGTGTAGATTCGAGTTTGTCAAATCATAACCCCACCCCCCCCCCCCACTTTAATATTTAAACTTTTGAATACCTAACTGATTTTTGCTATTTCCGAACCAGAGTGCTCAGGTGAGCGAAGTGGCCCATGGTCCTCTTGTTTTTGGTGGATTTGTGAATGTAATTGGTGTGTAAATAACATTGACGTATCTCGTATGATGCAGCGTGATTGTGACATTTAGTCGTCCTGTTTATATTGTCGCCGGCGACAATGTGTACATACACTCACTGAGCACTCATTGTCGTCCATCAGTACATGTCGCATGACAATGCATGGCAATGTTTCCATAAAGATATGACTAATCATTGCTTTGCTGTTGTTGAGAAGAAAAAGTTTAAAGAATTTTTCTATATATTCCTGTGTAAAACTTTGATCGCCCTTCGTGGCCCCAACCTAGGCCCGGGGGTCATGATTAAAAGAAACTTGAATCTACACTACCTGAGGATGCTTCCAT